GCGCTGCTGGAGCCTGTGCTAAAAGGGCTAGTGGGACTGCCTCCCTCAGTGGCCTTCCGGGCGGTGCTGAAGCTGTCTGCGCTCATCCCGCCATTGTGCGTGTGATAGGGAACCGATGAGGACATCTTCCTGCCGGACGAGTGGTGTACAGACATGGAAAGAGCAGAAGGTGGGGATGTTGGAGGAGGAGGGGGGGCAGAATGGTGGCTAGTTGCCCTGGACCACAAAGTCGCTCCCAGTCCCCCACTCAGGGAACCAAGGCCTTCAAGACTGACATCAGTGCCATTAGTGTGGAAGTCATTGTCTCCCTGGAGGTCTACAAAGGTTCCAGTTCTCAGGGTGATGTGAGTCTCGATCTCCTCTCTCGCTCTGTCCACGTTCTCTGGCATCCCAGTCACCTCGAACACGGGGTCTTTTTCTCGACTCGGTGTCACGATGTAGGTGTGAGTCTGCTGCTGGATGCGCTTGATTGTTGCCCCTTTTGGTCCAACAACTAAACCGACTACTCTATACGGCACTCTAACCTGGATCAGGGATAAAATAAAAGGATATTTTAGCTGATTTTCAAGCAAAACAAGACAAAAAGCAAAAACATGACCCCAGCACCACAGCAGGGCTACTGCACCTGTATAGTGGTCTGTCCAGGTAGGTTTGGTGGTCCGGGAAGGGAGCCGCCTCCTCCACCCCCTCCAGCTTTGCAGCGGGACGCCCTGATCATAGAGAAGTGCTCTGCTGCAGACACAATTTCACGCTTGGCCATCTCCACATCCTCCCTGCGTCCCGTCACGATGAACACAGGGTCCTCCCCTCGCACCGGAGTCTTTATGTAGGTGTTTGTTTTGGCACGCAGGGCCTTGATCTTACAACCTGGAAGATTCAGAAGCACACAATCAACTGCAATGTTTTTTTTTTTTTGTTTTATTAGTTGATCTGATTTTGCTGACAATTATGAATGCTTCACTTTGTAAAGTTTCAAAAATTCAGTTGCTCTCACTAATATGAATGGGCTATATTAGGCAGAGCACAAATTTCAGCCTAAATTTCAAAGCCTGACATCAAAAATATTTTTGTAACATACGCCTGGCACTTTGGTGTAGTAATTTACACATTTGCCATAAAATATCCATCTATCCATTCTTTTCCGCTTATCCTTATTGGGTCGTGGAGGGACTGGAGCTTGTCCCAGCTACCACAGGGTGAGAGGCAGGGTACAACCTGGACAGATTGCCAGTCTGTCGCAAGGATAAATAAAGTAATTTCCTCTGTTCGGTCCCAGGAGGAGACACAAATCCTTTTGAAGTTGTGTCAGGAAGGGTAAACTGTGTAAAGGTCTACCACATCAAATATGCATATCTGCCCGCTGTGGTGACCCTTTGTGAAAAAGGAAGGAGCTGAAAGTAGCATTTCTACAACATGATTATATTAGTATAAATTCAGACTTACTCTGGCATCAGAAGCCAAAAAACACGCTTCAGTAAAAATGAGAAGCATTTTCCTGACATAATCCACACCCCACAACAGTGGTGTATGCTCCACAGTCAGAGAGCCACCAAACTACACAAAGTGTACCTAATTTACCGACAACTACAGCATAAATGAAAAATAATCAGCCATTCCTTTATCATCAGCTCAAACTGAGGTAGTGCTGATCATTTTATGAAACAGGCAGTAAAGCCAGCAGGTCTTCATGAAGCTCTCCACATTAAATCAGTGCTGCACTGCATGCCTCCTCCCAGCAGCAGCATCCACACTGCGCTCTGTGTCTTTAAATGCGGACGCTTCATTCTCGGCGGCCAATAGGACGCACGGAGCGTGATGTCATTCTGGGAAGCAGAAAGCATGGCTTTTTCAAACAAAGAGAACAATGCTGTAACGTTAGCGCGAGCGCAACGGGAAAAACAAACCCACGGCTTGACTAAATTTAAAGTGTAGGACACATCCGAATAGAAATCATAATTAAAGAAATCATCTCGAGTATAAACGTAGCGGCAAGCAGCAGCAGCGGCAGACTGAGCTGGGTGCAGGGCGTAACACCGCCCAGTCCCGTGTTTGTGCGTCTGCTGCTGCCCCGTTTCAGCCTCACATCTGCTCTGAGGAGCAAATATAACAAACGCATGTGTGAGGTGAAGGTGTGAGTTCAGTGCCGCCTGTGATCTGCGGTACGAAGAAAATCTACACATTTCGCGATATTTCCTTTGTTTGGTGCAGGCTGCTAGACATGTCCAGACTCCCGACAATCTGCCGCTTTGTCTGACCCCCTCCCTCCCCTCCCCCTCCCTTCCCACTCAGCCACGCTCACTCCCTCACCCTCTGTCAGAGCATTGTCTAATTGCTGGTTTAAAAAAAACAAAACAAACAAAAATCACAAATACTACAGCGGCATTTCATTTCAGTGGAGTATCCGCATTATGCTGCCACTGAAGAGCAGGAGAGGGAAGTGCAGCCCGACCACAACATCAAGCTCAGACAGCTGAAGTTCACAGACCCAGCTCACCAGGCAGTCACCCAAACAAAGAACAAGCTGCTCAACGGCACAGCCTTACCTTGTCTGCCCACTATCTCAGCCACATGCTCGGAGCTGGGGACGGGAACACACTCGGTCATGTTGACACTTCTTTTCCTGCTGCAGAGGACGGAGTTTGGTTCCCCGTGGAGCATGGCATGGGAGCCGGCCATGTGGTACCCCCCTGAGCCATAGTACTCCGGGGATGGAGAGCAGGACGTCGGAGAGTCCCGAGACCCGCTGGGATGGTCCAGCATTTGTAGATCCACGAACCCCCCTCCACTCACACCGTTGCAATTCTCGGGTCCCGGACCCTGGGTCCCATCCAGGCTGTCCACAAGCCCGCTGCTTCCGCCGCCCCCACAGTCCACCTTCTCCATGGCCATCAGTGACAGCTGGTCCAGGGCGAAGCGGAGCGCCTCTTGGTGGTCCTCCTCCCGGGACTCCTGATCCGTCTCCCTGGACAGACCGACCCCGTTGTGTTGGCTGCTGATCACCACGTCGTGGTCCATAATCTCGGGGTGAAATAAAGGGCTAGGCATAGTCTCTCCGTGGATCTCACATCAGATCACGGATGCCTGTTTTGTTGGGAGTCCGCTCACCCTCTACTGAAATTCAAAGAAAACAACAATAAAAATAAAAGGTTTTTCCATGTCTTCTATTAAAACACACAAAATACGAGTGTAACAGAGCACCGTGGAGCCTCAGATCACCCAACAATAACAACGCGCATTAACAGTATTGATTTGAGCGCCTTTGCTTTGTCTGTTGTTGCTGTTTGTCTGACAACTGAGCTCATCCAGGAGGTTGACTGTTTTGCCCGTCCTCACAACCACATACAGTATATTCCCGAGCCTTTTCGGTGCCGACTCCAGCCGGTCCGGTGTGTGCTGTCCGAATTTAAACGTAAATTTAAAAACAATAAACAGATAAATGAGCTGTTGTTAGCTCCAAGAATCAAAAGCTAGCAGGCTAGCTCCACACAGTCGGCACTCAGTCACGTTGTCGACCTCTTTGTTTGAGAGCGCCGCGGTTAGCTGCTTTAGCTCTGTTCTGACAGTCGAACTTGTGTTCACATTCACAGACTGCCGTGTTATTTTTTAAAATTAAATACGTGCGGAAACCACGAGAACTCACCTTATCTACGTTTTGTCGATGAAGTCCTCTCTTCACTCGTAGCCCAGTTCTTTAAGGAAAGACGTGGAGCAGACTGAAGGAGGAGACCTGTGCTGTGCAGCGCTAGGAGCTAGCGGTTCGGCTAACTAGCAAACCGAAAGGGGGGCGTTTGAGGAGAAGAAGAAAAAAACGTTTAAAACCGAAAAGAGGGCACTGTTGTTTTTCCTCCTCCAGGAGATTTCCACAGGAGTGTCACTGCCTCTTCATTTCTCCCAGCGTCAGGGAGAGCTCAACTGAAGTCCAAGGTTAGCGGTTATCTTTTAGTTAAAAAAAAAAAAAACAGTGATTCTCGGCTTTCTGCTGCTGCTCTTGCCTGCCTGACCCCGGTCGGTCCGCCGCCTTTGTCTCGCCAGGCGCACGCCGCTCCGTCTCCCGCACACGGCACTGACGTCACCCGCGACACAACAATGAGTTCAAAGGCCACATGAAGCAAGGGGAGAGCATCAACGCACAGCAGTCTGGGCTACTGTCACCCCCGCCGGGTCTGTCAGAGCACTATTTCACTCTCCTCTTCCGTGGAGGTTTTTGTAGCGTAACTATTAAGGCACTGATATACGTTTAGAAAAATGTGACCACGGTTGGGTGTGTTCATCATGGCTACCAATGAGGTGTTTGGGGTGGTCCAACAGCATCACTGAGCGATGCTCATGCACTAGTAGTTACTTTCTAAGATATTTGTTTAAAAAAATAACCAACTCATAAACGCGCCACAGGGTTGTTCTAGGGGTTTCGATTGAAGTTATTTTTATATAAGCGCATACATGTTTAAAAAAAACCCACATCGGCATGCATACCTTTGCATACCTTTAGTCAGAGGCACAAAGATGAAATTTATTACTAATGCTGACTGATTTATCTTATTTAAGAATGAAGGGTTACATGGGTGTAGAGATCCCTCCACTGCCAACACAGACAAAAGGAATATACTAATTTATTACCCCCCTCCCTTTCTTCATCGATATAAAGAAACTATTTCCGAATGTTAGGCTGTCTTTTGGTTCATGGTCTATCTGAAAGGTTATACAGGAAGGACTCAGAGTAGAGCCAGCTGAGGTGGTTAGCATTTGACCAGCATGCCTCCTAGGTGAGGTGGGAGAAGGATATGCTAGAGGGATTGTATCCCCTGGATGGCTTGCTATCCCCTCTAAAGAGCTGGAGGAGGTGGCTGGGGATGGGTGGTGTGGGTGTCTTTGCTTACACTGCTCTCCTATGACCTGGATAGATACGGTTTAATAAAATTTGTCCTGTGGGGACATTAAAGTTCGTTTTTTGTAGGTATCACTTTAACAGACACTAAATACAAACAAACATACAAAAGGACACATAAGAAAAATGCCTTTATTTGACAGAAAACAGTACATCAGCAGTGTGTTTGTATGATCCGAGGGAACGCACCTTTTACTGAAATGCAATAGTAGTTGTTCAAAGAATAGTGAAAATACAAATACCATGGCTTCATGTTCAAAGCTATGTAAACTCAAATTATTGTGACCAAAAAAAGAGAAGTTTGAACCGTGAAACTGTAATCATCACCATCCAGAGGCATGTAAAAATACTGCTGCATTTCTATGCTTTCAAACATGACATGCTAACTTACAGTGTCAGTAAAACATAAAAAGCAATAGCAGGAAATAAAAACACTTCTTAAAACCAATTAAAATGTAACACACACACAGATCAGTCGTGTACATAAAGGTTTGCGTTTTCAACACTGAGCTTAAACAGCTGTTAACTAAACATAACACTGCATTGTGTAGAGCACCATAACCAGCTGCCGGACTTTAGTAGAGGTAAAAATGAAAACTCAGAGCACCCTTACAGGATTATAAGGTCATATGTTTAAAAAACAAAAAAATTAAAGACCACAGTCTTTGTTTAGGTTAGGAAAAAAATCTGCAGAATGTCTGCATATAAAGTCTGCTTCAGTTTAACTGCATACAAACCTTCATGGAGCCGTTAATTCGAGCATTGAAAAGACTTTACCAGCAAATGTCTCAAACAAGTCTGTGGGAGAGATAGAGGAGAGTTACTTGTTTAGGAATATACTGTAGGTCATATTAAATGCAATTAACCATGAGAAATTCAGCCATACTGTAGTGATTACTGCCTTTCTGTGTACCTTGGCTATAACTCCTCCTTCTCCACCTGCTCACCCTTCACCTCTGCTTCTACGTCTGCAGCGGTGTCTTTTATATGAGCCAGCATATCAGCCATAAGGGCTTCTTCGAGCCGCCTCCTCACATTCTGCACCAGGTCCTCCTGCTTCCTGAGGGGCACAGACAAGAACACATAATTACATTAATGACATAACGTCTTTCACGACTTGAAAAAAGTTTCAGGGAAGGAAAAGTGCAAATCATTTGATGTCCACCAAAGAGCCGCACACTACACCTCAGCCCACCACGTGACCTTAGAGGGAGGCTGATTTTTATTTATTTATTTTTGCTCACTCCAGAAAATCATTTCATTTTCAGACCCAAAATAAGCAATAAAAAAATAAATACATTCAATTCCCAGAGACATGAAGCTTGATAACTGTAGATGATACATCCAACACATGAACACAGAAGAAATGTGCATCTCCTCTGTGGAGATTGAGTCTGTTTTTATGACTTATACATGGAAACGTGTGCTCTAAATTTTAATATGAGCACTTCAGTCTAGAAAACTTTGCACATCATTACAATAACTAAAAATGCTAACATGTTTTGGGAAATTAACGTCACTGGTGAAGGAGGATTGTATCTATGTATGTATGCACACTCAATAACAGGGCAAATCTTTGATACGATCTCAGAAACACATTTATGTCTGAACACAGCAGCTTCAGAGCCGTGCTCTTCAAACCGTATGCGATTGAGGGGCAGCCAATCAGCAGACAGGTGGCATAAAGTGAGGGTGGCCTTCAGGGAAGAAGAGGTAAAACAGCTGACTCATGCACTCAAGTTATGCAAATCTATTTTAGCAGAGTCCAAGAATAAAAGTCAGAATAACAGGTTCCCATTAAATATACAAAGAAATAGCCCTGTTCTCTATTCTTGTTTCTCACCTGAGGTCATACACACATCACTCAAGACCAAGGACAAGGAGCTTTCTGCCTGCTGGCTGAGTAACACACATTTTCTCCTAGTGACAAGTGGTTGCCAGGTGGTCACAGACTGGTCTCAAGGCCTGTGTGACTGGGTCCTTAGTCACTTGATCATACATTGTGACCATGATTGTCACACTTCCAAAATGATAGATAAGTTAACGTCACATGGTTAGTGGTCACGTTTCCAAAAAAAAAAAAAGAAAAAGAAAAACCACATATCTGCATTTTATCTTGCTTTTCGCTAAATGGACTGAGGCTGATTTGCTGTTCTCACCAGTGACCCATAAAAAGACACCATAGTTCAATTTGGTATAAGAGTATAAATGCAAAGTATGACTCATTACAAAGCCATAAAAGAGAAGCAGAACACAAAGTAAATCTCAAGATTGAACTTTTGAACACAGTGAATTTAGTTTGTTTTTCTAACATTTATATAATAATGTGCCTGAACTGAAGGTCAAATAGCAAAATAATAATGGTGACTTGTGATACAACTGTCCCAAGTTTTCAGTGTGTAACACTTGTTTCTCAGTATGAAATGTCCTTGGTTCAGAACGCTCCGAGAGTCAAACATCTACTTTCCTGCAATAAAAATAAAGTGCGCTGGTTTTGGCAGTGCACAAGTTTTTTATCATCAGCTATAGCATGCTAGCTGGAGCTTCAGTAAATAGGTACAAAGTGCTGATTCACTATATGTTGAGACTGAATTTAAAGCTGTATTCTTGTGTCACTGGAATAGAAAACGTTTGCGCTCACAGGTCAAGTGACCGGCTACCAGCTTATACTAAATGTGAATACCAAGACCAGTTGCATTTGTCCGTTGACAGCTCTGACAAAGCTTTTTCAGACAAGATATTGATGTCCTCAGTGACATTACTATGCAATTTTAAAGCCTATTTAATGGTTTTACTATTGGAGTCCAGTGTGTGAACCCAGCAAGGGCCCCTTGTATGGAGTTTTTCCCTCCAAGAGCTCAGCTCCCCGGGTTAATGATGCGTTCTTCACAGAAACAAGAGATTCTTAATCTGAAGTTTCACTTCCTGATTAAATAATAATAATGATAATGTTGTCTGAGGCTTTAAGGCCCTTTTTCATTTTATTTCTTACTTTAAACTGGTCACAAGCCTTTGCCTTTTAACAATATACACCTTAAAGCCATCTCCACACAGGAAGTGATTTGTAACGACCACAGAAAGTCTGGGACATTCAGCAAACAACTACAAGCAGTAGTCAAAAAAGATGACAAACAAAAGAAACCCCCTGTAGTGACGCAAACTGGGCGGGTTGCAGGATAAACTTCTCTAAATTTCGAGGTGAGTGATGGATGCAACAACCTATGAGTGTGAAGAGTACTGTGCATTTGTCAATACATGGTGGTCAGTTTTGGTTTCTAGACCGCTCCAAGAATAAATTGATTACATGATTTTACCCTAAACAGAGTGCCTCAGCAACCCCAACATTAGAGGGTTACCTGGGCAACTGGAGCCTTAGCATTAGGAGTTTTTCCTTTAAAAGAAAAATCCAAATGATTCCAAAACTGAAGCTCATCATGTAGAGTTTTGTGAGAACCTGTCACTGTGGTGGCGTACGCTACATGAGAACAGAAAACAGTCACTGACAGTCAAGCCATTGATTGTTGAAAACAGCAGCATGTGCCCAACAAGAAAAAAGAAACACCACCTCACTGCTTGGTAGTGGTGGAACATGTTGAAATGCACTTTTAGAGTGCACTTGATTTACATTTGACACCCTTCACAGAAGAAGCCACCAGCAGCAGACTCAAGCCTTCATCAGTTTCCTATGCATGAATAATATCACTCAGTATTACAGTTAGAAAATCAGAGCTCCTTTGTGTTAAATATGAAAGTATCTCACCTAATATCATCATCAGTCACTACAAAGGCTTTGCAGAGAGGCTGCGCAGTGTTGAGCCAGACTCCTGGATTTTTCTCCACCGCAGCAGTGAGCTGTCCCGTGATGGGCGCCGGGCTGGTGTGCAGGGCGCTGGCGATCGCAGAGAGCAGCGTTTTGTCTGAACATGCAGGCCCCACCCCTAAGGAGAGAAAATCAGGTGGTATGGGTCAACCTGGTAGAATTATTTCTGTTTGAATTATATGTGACGGATAAGTTTTAAAGGTTAACCTCACCCTGCAAGCCTTTGGGGAGATCCATCGTTTTGACCAGCTCTTCTGCTATATCGAATGCATTTAACCCGCTCAACTTCCTCTCCCAGAACAGCTAAAGAGTGAAGCAAAAAGGAAGATACCTTTTGTGTATTTTAGGCACAGTGTTTCCAAACCTGAACATCTCAGTCACACTCTCTCACACACACACACACACACACACACACACACACACACACACACTTAAATTACCATTAGAAAACAAACAAACACTTGACACACCTTTTCTGCTTCTGACTTACTTGTTTTGGTTGTTCCACAGCCTTCTGGGGGTCCGTCTTCACCTTGTTGTTGGGGTGATTTGTTACTTTGGTCACTGGCTGTTTGAAGATGGAAGCTGTCTGTCGAACTGGCAGCGTTGTGTTTAAATCAGGCTTAGCCTTTAAGAGAGAACCGCAAGTTAGTTTTCTACTATATGAACAGATTTGTTTTTTAATGACACTTAAAAAGAGCCACTTTTAAAGCCAACAGTTATCCTACTGCTTTATTTTTACTGCTGTCAGTCTTGTATAGCAGTGGCTGCTGCATCCCGTATTTAATTGTGAAGAGGCTATAAAAACATTACAAGGCAATGGAATGACTACTATGACACAATGTGGCATGAAAACAAAAACGCAGTAAATAGCTACAAGGAAAACACCTATCCTTCAGCTTAACAGCAGACATAAAAGGCTGCAATGAGGTTAATTTTACAACATTTACCACTTGTACAGTCAACGGTCAATCATAAAACCTCATCTCTGGGGGAGGTTTACTGGTGAAGGACACAATGCACTCTATAGCAACTATGAAATAACGACAGGTTTCAAATGTCAAGAGGTAATAATCTACCATCCAAAAATCATGTGCAAATTGGATATTTCAGGTTAGGAATTCACGAGAGAAAAACGTCCTTATGTAGGTTAAAGCGAACAAGTGAGCATGTCAGACTCAAGTCTGTTTTTACTGCAATTCATCTGTGATGGCTTCATGACAGAGAGGTTCCTGTGACGGTCATGAAATTTTAACCACAGTTTGCTAAAAGGCCTCAGGCAGACAGTGTGATCAGTGTACAGCCTGATGAGCTGTGCTTTTGGTTATGATGTTTATGACAAACACTCAAATGAAGTGGCAAAAATCAGACTTGGAGCTAATAATTCAGGACTGAAATTACTCTTATTTTAGCCACAGAGAATAAAAATTCTAGCTTTGATTACAAAAAATTCTCAACACAAATTTGTTACTTCGATACTTCTTTTAATGCATGACTATGTCACTATGGAAACATGAGCGTTTCACCCACATTTGCGACTAAACAGTCCTGCAATAGAAACGTACTCAGCAGCAGCGTATGAATAAAAAGTTTGACAACATTAGACACCGACCCCAGTTTTTAAACGTAAGCACTGATAAAACAACAGCAGCAGTGATGATGATGCTGGCACACTTTAACGAGGAGCCGGAGTCTGTTTAAACAACGTGGAGAGCGAAGAAGCCAAGCTGTTACGGAGACGGTGAGCTCAGGTTGACTGAAAGAAAACATGTTTCCAGCGTTCAAAAGAGGAGTGCTGTTCCTGTAATCACCATTAAACCTTTAGTGGGAAAAAGCTAGCGGGAGTCCTTCATCAAAGAACCTGATCAACAAACTTGATCTGCAGTAAGCCTCCAGAAGTTTTATTAAAATATGCAGCTGAACTGATACCAAACTGGTTAAACTATACAACTTGCTGATGCCTTACAGCCTCCTATTAACGTCAGAAAGCCTTCAAGGAAGACAGAGTAATAGTAAATTTTTATTTAGTTTAGCTTAATATATTTTTTTCTTATTTATTTATTTAAAAAGGGACAATGCAGTTTAACATGATTCCAACAGCATGAAACTGATGTGCTGCATACGCATCTTATTTTATTTGACTGTACTTGAGATTATTTATATATTTTTGCATTTAAGAAAACTTTTTCTTCCAAAAAATGACATTTTTATATGGCATATGCAAATAGAATCAAAGGGTTTAGTTGTTGTTCTGTTTTTTGGACAGATGTATGCAGTTAAACTAAATATGAAGAAGCACAACTTAAACTTACAGGTATACATTTTTAAGCCTCATAAACACCAGAGACCAAACTGTCTTACCCTTATTTGATGGCTGATGTCATAGAGATGATTGTGCCTGCTGCGCTGCCCCTTGATCAGGAGTGACTGTTCGCCCCGGGAGTGGCCAGCATTCACATCAGTGTGAGGGCTGCCGCGGAATATCTGCGGCTTGTTGAGAATACGCTTAACAGGTAGACTAGAAAGAAAAACAGAAAAACTATCAAAACAAGCATCCACCAGGGATCAACAGTATTTCAGATACATCAGTTCTGCTTATAGCAGGTACAATTCTTTAAGATAAAACAACAAGTACTTTAATATTTATCCCACAAGCTCAGAAAGTCCTGTGTGAGAGCAGCCCAAACATTAAACCCAACATATAACAAAACAGCTTAAATAAAGTAAAATAGTTAGATAAATAAAACATGTCAAAATTAAAGTCAGTGTAAAAAAAAAAAAAAAAAAAAAATCCACAAAAGCAGCTCAATTAAATAGGAAATAAAATTAATAAGTCAGATAAAAAACACTCAATGAATTCTACTGTATCCATAATACAATAAAGACTTCATTATATACAAGAATAAAAACAGGCGCTTGCCCATTACTAACTGATTCCTGATCAAAGGAAAAAAAGTCTGAATACACAGTTCTTCTGCATCAACACAGCTGTTTTTATAATCACATTTGAACACTGTGTAGAAACAAAGTTAGAACAAAAAATTGCATTTAACTCAGGTGGGTCATTGGGTTCATTCCACTATTTTTAACTGGGATGTCCAAGCGTTTAGTACTCCACAGACACTCTCAGTTACTTTTTTGAATAAGCTTTTTGACAGAGCCACGCTTCGAAATGGTATCTGGGGCCACCCCAGTAGATGTGTTTTGTTCTTTTGTTAGCATGAAAATTGTGAAGGAGGGCATAAACACAGCTGTGCATTTAGCTTCATTTGACTTACTACATTGGCACTGTTAAACTTGCACTTATTTTTCTGAAGACAACTGTGTAATCATGACCGGAGTACAAATGAATGATTTGTTAAATGTGCATTTACACTCCTTTACACTAAAAGAAAGTGAAACGATTTGTCAGATATTAGTGACCATCTGTCAAAAATTGACTACTGATATTTAAACTGTTCTAAATTCCTGAAATCTCTCATGAATGACATCGAGCCATTTTGATCCAGAAAGTACTTAAGGGTTTTGTACAACCTTCTCAAGAGGCCTGGCCAAAAGGGAATCAGAAATTGCAACACATCTAACAAAACAGCTCTAAAATATAAATTAAGTAAACACTGAGTAGGCACAATAACGTAGACTCATATAGCCTATAACTCCAAATACACAATGGCATAAAACGATATTTTCAAAGAAATATTATAAAATAACTTGTCGAGCACGGGACCCCAACAGGTGTGCTGACAACAAGTCGAGAGACGTCATTCAGGCACCTCTGTAGCCCACCCTGTGGTTAAAAGCGGTCTGACCAGCAGTAGCTGATAATATCCACGTGGTTGTTTTTGTTTGACCGTCTCTAACTGAAGCGTGTCTGAAGCGTACTCATGGTGAGCCCCACGTGAAGTTTGGAGCGCTCGTGCTGCTGTAGCTGTGACGGGCCTGCGCACTGCAAGTCAAGCGTGTGTAAACAATGAAACTTAGCTAGCTAATCAAGCTAGCAGCACCGGGACGTCAAAGTCGTAGCAAATAGCGTGTCAATTGTTGCTTGAAGCTGCAGTATTTTAAACCAAACGAACTCCACCCGCTTTAAAGTCAACTTTTAGCTACAAAAGTAATGCTGCAAATAAATTAATTAAACCTCCCCAGATCGATTCATTTACTGATGAGCGTTTCTAAAGTGCCCCACGGATGTATGCAGGCGTGCGTGCATTTCCTCGTTATTACAATAACTCACTCGGTCAAACATGACAAAGTCCTACCTTTTTCTTTCCATGGTCCCGGCTGTCTCAATATTTCTGCCCCTAATTTTTGCTAATAAACGACAAAAACTTCACTACCTTATTAATATTACCACAGGCATGAATTTTGTCTGCTAGCTGTCCGTCTCAGCTCGAGATCTTGCAGATCTCGAGTACAGATCACTCCGCCGTATTAGTAACTTATGCGTCACACGCTGTAAAGTAGTCCGAAAGTAAAGCTCGCGCAGGTCTCACGTGGGCTGTGTCATAGGCGGAAAGTAACTATGACAGAGTTTTGACACTGTAACGTTTTCATCGTGTTCATAATTGTACTCAAAACTGCATTTATGGGAAAATATGTTACTTAATTGTAAAATGATATTTGCTTTTAGTTATTGTGAACTGGATATTTCTGGATAAACGGTCTGTATTTAAAGTCTAATGACACAATACAATAATGCAATTGCACTAGTTTGATGCTGTAACAGGTAGGCCAGCTAGATTAAAATCCAAGTTCAACGGGCTTTATTTATTTATTTTGTTTAATTGTTAAACTGTTACCTACACATTAATACATTTTCTATTCACTTTGTATAGAATTGAAAATGTATTAATGTGTAGGACCAGTATTTGCTACTACACCACGTTTTGTAAAAGGAGATGGAAAAAGTTTAAAAAAAAAAAAGGTTTCTAAAAATTACCCAGCTGTTAATAAAAATATTAAGTGCCTTGATATTTTATAGCTTTTTAACAAAAGAGTGAAACTGTCAGTACTTTTCATTGTGACCAGTTATGAGGATGAGTAAGAGAGGCTGTTTTTAAATTTGCTTCATGCACATTTACCTTCAGCAGGAACACAAGCAAAAGTAAATAAATCCATAAACAGCCATAATATAGGAGAAATCACAGATACTTTACTTCTCACAAAAATCAAGAATCAAATTTGACCCACAGACCACAGATGATTACAATAAATACACGTCCTTAATCTGAACAGGGAAAGAAACCAAATGCATGTTTAAATCGTTACTGTTTTCCTCTTCGTCTGTTCATATTTTTACTGGCAGAAGAACGCTGAAAAGCCAAACCCAAGGATCATTTCATTGGACGTTGGTAGTCAACAGTTCAATGCTGAATGAGCTGGAGGGTGAGAATGATGGTCTCTGGTGGCCTGCCATGCAGTGGAAGGTCCTGGCTGCAGCAGTGTGTGGTCTCTCTGTAGGTCCTTGTGTAAAAAGAATAAACAGCGCTGACCTGAGGAGGAGGAAGGTACATGTGTTATAATGTGTTCAAGAAATTATCAAAGCTGGATGCTGAGGGCAAGCGGAAAAGAAAAACTTAATGGAATATTAAAGCATTTTTGTTTATTAACTGTAATTTTTTTCTCGTTTGAAACCATCATTCAAAATTTAATCAACATCAACTGAATGAACCAATTCAAAGTTAATGCCTATGAGTTTTAAATTTCCAGTGGTCACAGTCTTTTCATTAGAAGCTGCCTAATACAGTCTCAAACAGGCCACTTTCCTTAATTCTGGTCTTGTGTCCTCTCTGAACTGTCCAGTTTCATTTAAGTTATTAATTTATTTATCCCAAACATCTGCAGATTACTATGTTAAAGCAACCAAACCTTTAAGGACAACAAGATACAATATGACAAAAACAAAAATCACATACAAAAACAAACTGGAAAGAAAAATAAAATATATCAATGAGTATGTCGCCACAATTGTCAATACTTTCTTTTAGCAAGCTGATGAAATGTGCCCCTGTTTTTCCAGGGCACAATTCATGCTAAAGCCCTTTAATTTGATCAGACCAGAAAGTCTTTTTATGACTAGGGTTTTCCAGTGACTGAGCATAATGAGCTCCTGAATTTGTTCATTGCCTTTCTGAATGTCTGCTTTGTAACTGAGAAATAAATGAAACCAAAAGATCGCCTGGCAGCTTTGTGTCAGATGACATCTCACATTTAGTAATCACATTTTCAATCTTCACATTATTACGACAAGCACTTACAGAGCTCATCATGACAAACCGCTTCATTGTTTCCTTCCCATCAGTTGAAGACTTTTCAATCTCAGCTCCGACTCCGGACATTTGTTTCGGAAATCACAGTATGTCTGCTTGTTTGTTTTTGATATTAATGTAGTGTCCCATCCTGTTCGGTTGAGTCATGCGGTTCAGGCAATACTTAATAAAGAATCTATTTGGGAAACGGGGGGCTAATACTCCACCCAGTGATGCTTTTACCTCTGGATTGAGGCATGACTGTTACCATTATATAGACAGCCTGTGTGCTGGGTCAGTAAACAGGAAAAACATATATATCTATGCCCAACAAACATGTAATATTGTAGGTTTTTCTTGGCTCACAATTTGATTTTGGGGAGTGAGTACTCATGATTGGTCTGTATGCATTGGAAGAAATGAGTCTGTGTTTCACTTGACTCAAAATTGTTCGCTTGAAGACCTAAGTATGCTGAAAGACTCGACTTTTGGCCCCAACAAACCCGTGACTGTGGTACTGTGACTTGTTTTCTTTAAAGTCACATACATCCCTCTGTAGACTGGACATCCACAATGTCAAGAAAATTTACTGAAAACCAAAGCTAGACTTGAGCAGTTTGAATTATCCCAAAAGATGTTAAGAATAATTATTAAAAAACAAAAAACAAAATATTTCTGAATGTGTTTGTTTTGAGCATCACGCACGTGTGCTGTTAGAGATAGCTGAAAACATTTAGTGTTACACAATGCCACACATGAGAAATGTGATTCTTGCCTGTTCAAACAAGTTTAAAGTCAACATAAAAGTAAAACTGGTACTGAGTAGCCTGATCAGTTATTTTTGCAACAAGCTGCATATTACGTTGCAGAATTAGACAGAACTTCTCTGAATTTCAGGAGTGGGTCAACCCCCCACACACACCCACACCCTTTATGTTCTATCACTTTATATGCTTCATGATAAGCTGTTTGTTCTCATTTTCATGCAGCTATGTCAACTTCACATAAAGGACTCCCCGTTGGTTTATGGGCCGCTGGTCATCGCTAACAAACCAATTATATATTCACTACAATTTGTAAAGTCTTTGGAACTATCATCACTGACTCTGGGGATGCCTGGTCCTCACTGAAGTCTCAAGCCTAGATCTACCTTTACGCCACCTGTCATTCTGTTAAGCACTGTCAGTCCAACTTAGGATGCGGTTCCTGCTTGTTAAATGATTATTTATTATTCAACGGTGCATGATAATCTCCCGAATGACTGTTTCACGCTGCCATTCTTTGGACTAACCTGACACATGTTAGTCATCGTTCTTGAATTTGCCGTTGATATAGGGGACATAATCCAAAACCAAACGCCAGTCTGTGACGTACACTAGGGCTACACCTCCAGTTGTTCCCCATACTGCCATAGTTGGGAGCCTGTGGAAAGAAGACAGTGAAAATTTGTCCGTTGTGTTTCTATTAATTTCAGCATCGATTGATGAAACTGAAGAGAGAAATACATTTTTATTGGGTAAAACCAAATATTCATTTTAGTGGTTTCGGTTATTAGAAGAAGACAAAAGGGTTGATGCCTTTTTATCTGCTGAAGCTATAAACATGCTGGAAAATGATGTAAGTAACTAACCCCCCCCCCAATAAATCTGTTGCTTCTGTTTGGTAAAACATGCCAGAGCATTTTACTTTTATCTGTTTAGGAGAGGGGATCCTGTACCTTAATCCAGTTGGGATAAAGTTTAATGCAGCCTTTGCGGCAGATTTATTAAGAACATTAAAAACCTTCGCCCGAGATCACATGGTTTGATTTGTTAGCTCGATGTATTTAAAAAAGCGATTCCCAATCTCCTCTGTGAACAGGCAGAGTTAATAACGAAAAGATAGCTCACACTCGCTTTAATACATAAAAATCACAACATCTTCAACAGACAGTCTAAAGTCAGTATGTCCCTACGACTATGACCTCAGTTGGGCTAACGGCTAATGATAGCTAAGGACACATCGAGGTTCTTTTAAGCACAGGTCCGATTTCTTTCCGCTTTTTCTCACAGGCGCGACGTAAAAACTTCTTACCATGACTTGGCAATGGCCACATATTTCTGACCGATTACTTTACCGAGCATTTTGGCTGAATTTTGTGCTCCTTACGCAGGACGTGCCACTTTGAAAGATTGGAAGCACTTCCCAGTTTCTCGGCAGCCTAGTGCGCAAGCGCAAGAGGTACTTCCGCTTACTTAAGAAATAAAAGCCTTTAATAATTAAAGACAGACATTTTTTGACGCGCTTGTAAGCACCTAAAAAATAGTAACGATTTTATGTGGCAAATCTATAAAACATCGTAATGTTTCATGAAATGAGTCCCGTTTCGATTACAAAATCATTTTTGACGTTTTTTATATGGCGCTTGCAACGAAAAGTGTTGGGGGGGGTTTTGGTGTTTTTTTTAAATCGTGCATTGAAAAAATCAGGGGCAAGGCAGCAATCCAGCATAGCACCTGTATTGTTTTTCTTGACTTCTGTCACAAGTTGCTGTGTGATTTTTAAGAGGACAGTGGCGGATTTTATGGACACAGCTGACAGCGCATGTCTGCACCCTAGTGGACTGAGAAAAAAGTACTGCATCTGGTTTCAGGTGTTACTGTGCTTTTAAATGTTTTCAAATTTTCAAACTCCTTGGCGGCCGCTTATCGGGGCCTGGAGCCTGGGGCTCGCTCGGGCCACTTCGGAGGTGGGGTGCCCCCGGCCTCTCGGCCTGGGGCTCGGTCACTCAGGCACGGCTGGCTGCCGGCGGAGCTCACGGGTGCGTCACTGCAACCCCCCCTGGCTTCTGCTCCGCGGCTGCTGAGTGAGCCCTCATCTGGGACTCTCCCCAGTTCTTTCTGGGACAGTGGCGCAGCTGCCCCTCTGTTGGTCTTCCTTGGTCTCTTGTGTTCTGGGGGCCTCTGGATGTCTGGAGTTTTGATCTCCTCCATACCTGCTTCATGCCCTGGAGGACGGGGGCTGTGTGACCCCCCCCCCCCCCACACACACACACACACACACCCTCTAGCAGATCATTACATGAAGGAAGGAACCTTTTGAAAAAAACAAGCGCGTCCATGCTCACAGGTGTACACACGGGTGATCACACCCACAAACTACACCCTTTTTGGCTCCTACCTCAAAGCACACTGTGTTCTGTTGATCTAATGTGCTGCACAATAATGTTTAATATTTAGTATTTACTGTCATATTCCCATATATCATTGTGATGTTGTT